CTTTTTACGGCGACGACGCGCCGAGCGCGGCTTTTCAGTCCTTATTACGATCCTGTCGCCTTTTTGTTGCAAATAATTACGACGCGCTCCGCAATACCATGTCGATAAATATTTAGAATTGCCCGGCTCTCGGCTCCATTGGACATACCTGAGGTCGACTGCCTAAATTAAGCAATATATTTCTTACCATCACCTCTTAAAGGAAGGAATTGTATTTGAAATTCGCTAATGAGTTTAAAGAAACAGTACCATATATAATCGCAACAACAAAATAGTTTAAAATTTACACGATTATTTATGATAAAAGAACTCAGTTTATAACTTAATGCATGTTATATGTAACGCGTCGAATTCACTCGTTTTTCTCAAGTCGACAATCTACTGTGTGGCATATTCAACGATAATTTTACAATAAGGGTGACCAATATGTCTAAAACTACTTTTATTAAGTAATAATTTTGACGACACCAGTCGCTACGTAAAATGGGCTTGGACATTCCGTAGGAAAAGATCGTAAACCATTAAGAGTGGAGAAGAGATTAGATCTGGTTGCGTCAGTCGGATTCATAAATTAGCGATTAAGCGCATCCAATAATAAAGGCAACAATGGGATTGAATGCAAATGAGCGAGCGAGGAGCGGCCGGAGCGCGCGAGCGGCGACCGATCGACATTTGTATGCGATATCTAAGCGCACAATTGGACGCCGGCGCGACTCTTCGCGCTAATGGTACACTATCAAGCGATCGCGTTCGCCCGCTTGAGAAGTAGCGACCGCCTCGGAACAGGGACCACACGGTTATACCCACCTTAAATATATCAATATTTGGTTCGCAATTGAAGTCTCTGTGTGAGAAGAAGAAGTGAAAAATATCTCGTTACTTGATTACTAACAAATACTTAAAAAAGAAAGTACATCCAGGATCGTAGCTTTCTTTGCATAAAAACAGCAACAAATTCGAATATTAATTGAATACAAATCTGTTATAATAAGTGTTGGATAATTAGTTTGAGTGCCATTAGGACAGTCCGATATTGAAACTATAAAATAAAAATTACGCTCCGTAACCAATAGTTAATTGAAATGTGACAGATACTATAAACATATTATTTTATACAGTTGTAAAACGTCATGTACGTATCGAGGGACATAAAAACGCAGTGAAAAGGGATATAAAATCGATATAAGTTTGCAGTGACGAAGAGTGTAATTATAAGCGATGATATTCGTTATTAATCTGCACCTTTTAAAAGGGTCGTGGCGATTAAAGTTCCGAATAACAATCGAGGTAATGCTCGGGTCGGGACATTTACTGACATGTTTGCATTTATTGAGGATTTTCGGACCTTTTTATGATGCCAATGCTCAAATAATTAGTTAGTTGCCCCTCACGCCACAGGACATGGTACAAATTGACAAATCTACCTGATCCCATCGCGACCAATATAAATTTTATTGTTTTTTAATTATCATGCATTATTTTAAGGTGCGAGTGACGACCTGTTGTGATAATTTAATATTTGTAAAGTATTTCATTGCCTCGTTTCTACTTTGAAATCTTCAAGTTTTGTACAAATGCTGATTATAATAATTTTTAAATGTTGGTTACTATACGTGTCGACAATGGATTTTTAAGACATAGTAGCTGTGAATTATTCTGATATAGGACTACAGGTTGCTTCTAAATTTCGCCGAATGCACATGTGTAAGTAATTTGCAGCGACCTGATTGAGTGACCATAAAACCCGAGAGTGCTGTGGCGCGCCTCAATTGCCAATCGATCTTTGTCATTGAGCTCGATAAATACACAAATTACGTATTGTCACTGCAATTTTTTTTTGCTTAATGCAACCAAGTTTAAGCTTGATAAATGTATATGTGTTGGTGAATATGTATGATGAGTTTAAAACGCTACTATAATTTTATCAAGACTCATATAACTTTTTCATAGACCATATTAGTAGAATCGGATGTAAAGAAAATGAGAGAAATCAAATAGTTATAAACAATATAAATATTTACAATTTTAATTGAATTATGGAGATGATTAGTGTTTTTTTATCATATATTTTGACTGATACAAATATTTTTTTCGAATCGTTTTTCCCTTCTAAGATATCAACATTACAATATATTACAATTTCATAACTTTATATATTTGTCTTTTACCTTTGTTGATAATAATGTTAAGCACTTCATAAAATCCGGTTTTAACCTCTTTCAACGTACGAATGGTCAAAGTTGTTGAAACACGTTAGCAACATCGCCAATTGATTTGGGTAATTTATTGGTCGGCGACAACGAGCAATCACGACGAGCGCTGATTGAAAAGCATTGTTTAATTTATTGTAATTATGAGGGACAACGCAAGTTATTGTTCCGAATACATTTTAATTGAGTCATCATTATGCCTATTAAAATGATTTGCTTGCTATTTAAAATGATATCAATGAAATAATATAAACTACTTCGATTTCAGATTTTTATAGCAGTCTATTAGAATAAAATATTGCTATAATACCTTTCTAGGTGTTACAACTGTTTATGCAAATCCTGTAAAATACGTAGACTTTGCGATCGCTAAATATGATGTATTCTTTGAAATAAAAAAGATCGAGACCGATGTAGGTCACTCAATGTAGTAAACCTTTAATCACAATATCTAAGGTCCAGAACACACAGAACTCTAATTTGTTTTGATTTAATATCAGTAAATTTATTATTATTATTTTAAATAATAGCTCCGGAAACATTTCATTCTCTTATCTATTGAATGATATCTGTAACACGAAGTGAAAGTGGACGTCGGCAAAAACAAATTGTAGCTTATTGAATATACATTAATTGAGCGGTTCACACCGGAAAAGTCAATAGCGTTCGGCTTGAGCGTATATTGAGTCATTTATCGTAGCCATAGGCACAATGATTAATATCCCGGATATTTGGTTTAAGGGGGAGTTGGAATATCAGTACATACTTCCTGGCTTCTAGTCATTTGTTCGTAAATATTTCTAATCCGGCATTGCTTCGTTTATACGTCGAACCAAGCTGTTCCTTGTTCTCGAAAACGGCATGAAAGAATTTCAAAGAAGTACCCGAAACAGTAGCCCTTACTAATCATTTACTATCGAACAAACTCTTATTATTATCAAGTTCTTAAAAACGATTTATTTATTTTACGTCTCAAATTGTCATAGTTGTAATAATTGTGAACATATTGAGATGTGCTCCGAACAATCCAATCGTGCAGTGCGTTGATCCGTCGCACCTATAGCCAGAGGTATCAGAGGCTCGCAAGACTTCGGTCGACGAGTAGCAAGTGATAAATAAAGCGTAATTGAGAGACGGAAACAGCCAATGAGTAAATCTCGTCCGTCAATTTATTTAAATTATTTATTAGTGGTCCGCTATAGACACCCGCCGCGATCGCTTGCAGCGCGCGTTCACAGCGCTGGCGGACGCGGCCCAGCGCCGTGCAACTCACACCATTCGATATCGACAATTATATTATCCAAATAAAATTAATCTCTAATTCTATAATTAAAATCTATAAACGTACGATGGTGTTATAGATACTGAGATTATCGAAAGGAAACCATCAATTTGAAAAACATTTCATTAAAGACCTTTTATTTCCAAGTTTATTTAATTTAATGATTAATAATCATAAATAGTATTATACAATTTCCTAAAAATGTTACATTAATTTACAGACCCAATTACAAGACAGTAAAAAGTATAACAATAAAAGTACTACAAAGGAATGATAATTTGTAGAGCTGTCGACTAAAACAAACACACAAATTGTTTTAAGTGCGATAAACAGCTCCGACTCGGAAACATTTTTATTTGGCACGTTTACCGCAAAAATCGTAGCGAGTAGATTCAAATAAATGATACTGTTGGCTGACACGGAAACATTTTCCATTACCTACAAGTGGCGATTTTATCGATAAGTCGGGGTAGTATCGCACCGAACTAGAGGCGAGTCGGATTAGTTAATTTGTGCAGATACGACACAATGGATGAGGAAATAATACACTCGCATGTACTTACGGCTACCGGGACATTGTAATTGGCGTAATTGGATAAATCTGGACGCACTTAATAATGGCCCATTGTAGTGATTCAAATGGCAACTCATCGTTTGAAAAATAAATGAATCATTTTCTTTTAAATTAGTACAAGCTTTTTATTGAACCGCGATATCATACATGCTGCTAAGTTTGTATTTCTTTATAAAAAGGCAAACAGCTATACGTAGAGTAAACGAGAACTAAACGACCTAATTTCCCACAGGGATGATATTAACTAGCATACGTTCGTGGCATAACTTCTATTACGGTTCATACTCGTATTTGTGTTAATCGTTTATTTATATTTTAAATTCATTTGATTTAGATGCGATAGTAAGTTTTTTCAGCTACATGTGAAAGCACAGATAGATCGGTACAATGATTTGGTGTACGAATGGATCACTATATCACGAGTCACTTTATTAGTGTAATATTACAGTAATATATTTACTAGTACGAGTAGACACTAGATTAGTAGTTACGCCTTATGATTTACCTAATTAATTCTATTGGAATGAAACGAGTGCAACAAAGCACGGCGCACCCTGCACAATCTGACACGCTTCATCGACCATGTCATCTTTTTACCACAATGCTAATTCATAGTAATTTAAATCGAAGCATCATTTACACAAGACTTTTGCAATCATGTGAAATATTAATTGGTATAAGGTCAGTTTAGTAGGTCAATAAGTCTTGGACTGTAGAAGAAAATACTTAGGAGTAAATGCATAGATATTAATATATTCATAAGGCTTTAACAGCTTTACCGGAAAGATCTTATAGACATAAGACCCCTAGAAGGAATTATCGCAAGCCTAATGCACCGACGCTTTAAAAGCACACATTATGCTAAACAGGTAAAGTGCAACTACTATTCATCATATCCAAACACAATGGTGAAATTACAATAATGTTTACTTACCCATTAATGTCTGTGATGGACCAGAAATGCCTGAGGACCGCTTTGGCGAGAAGGTACCATATTTGTGTCCACACCCACGAGGACTTGTCGATTGACGCGGACAAGAACTCCTTGGTCTCTTCGTCGGGGTCGAGCTGTACGAATTTATTCTTCAGGTTTTCGCTCAGCCGGCTTTTGTCTACTCGGTACCACTGAAAAAAAGACACTGTTAAAATATGATTAACATAGTGACTTAGCTGTGTAGATGTAATGTTTGTTGGGTCCACTGCTACGTCGTCAAAAAAATATATGAATCGCAATATTAACGGAGATATCAAGGGTATCTAGTTCATATTCCCTATTCGTGACAACATTTATGGTTATAATAATAGTCAATATATCATACAGACAAAACACCATTCATAACTTAATCGTAAATGAATGTTTAACAACTTGCGCTCGGGTCGCTAATGAAAGCGCATAAAAAGAACGGTCCAGTGCAAATAAGAGACTACGAGAGTAGTACGAAAGAGGCATAGCTCGTCACCCGTTGTGTGTTTAAGTCAGCGGCAGCGGACTCACAAAGGGCAGCAGCGGCTGTTAATTTCACGCCGCCTCAAATTAACATTTCTTTACGCCACGGAATAATAACGAATTAAAAAAAAGCGGCAGTCTCTCGCGTCTACATGCGGCGGTAATGACATGGCGGCCGCGCGAGCGGGACGCCGCTAACCTCATCAGGCCGGCTTAATTAATGCACGATCTGTCTTCGTATTAAAATCGAAGACGGCTCTCGACGTCAGAGAAAAAACGTCGACGGATTGTTTGTGAAGGCAGGCTTCCTACCGGCTGTGTTCACTGCCTGTATACTTGCCGATATCGGTGCAGAGTTGCAGACATTTTTTAAAGTGAGATCTCAGGCTCTCTAGTGCGTTCTAAATTGACATGCTCAATCGTTCTTACCTATATTTAAACTTGAAAAGAAATCAAGGAAATATCAATGATCCTACTATAAGACTTGTAAAACAAGATATAATTCTTTATGATATTTATAATACAGACACAAAAAGCATTTTTACGATGAGCCGCTAAAAATTATCGTAAAAAGGCCGAAGGAAATAAATATTTAGTACCGAGCGAAAGCTGATAGCGAATCACGCCGGTGATTATGCAATGCGCCGATTTTACATTTAAAATAACCTGCATCGGAACTACGGGATCCGACGAGGCGAATTCTCCAGACGGAATACAAATCGTGGAAAATTTTCAATGCCTAACTCATTCATAATGCTGGCCTTATAGATTGTTTATAACACATTACTCCATCACTTTTTCATAATTTATACATCCAATCATGAAAGATTCGTATTCTGAATATTTGATGAAGGAAGAAATTACGTCGTTTTATAGAGGAAAAAAGCTACACAAGTAGAGACCCATGACATAGACCTTTTTAAAACTTTTTTGCATTCATTAATTTTATGAAATCGAATTCAATTTGTAACCCTTAAAATATCGATCTATGTATTTAGAAACTTTCTGGCCTTTTGTTTATGTATTGAAATTACTGTGATGAATATTGAGGTTCAACACAGCACAGAACAGTACGCAATATAATTACGGTAACAATAAACCGTTTGATGTTACGTAATATTTCTGCAATGTTGTAAACTCTCATTAGGATCCCAGAGATAGAAAAGATAATTTGAATATGGCGCAATAGGACATTAGAGCAATGTGCAATAGCAAAATATAAACACAAATAATTGTACGAATATAATTTCCGCGTTGTTGTTTTTGTACATTATGTAGACTGGAGGCCCGGTTCGTTTATTTATGAGTCTCCCGTTTAGGATTCCATTTCTGCTCGTGTAAAGCTAGATTTGCATGAATAACAATTTCCTCATTTTAAAAATCTACCTGTTAAGGAAGACAAATCGAATATCATTTATTCAAAGCGACGAGCTATCGAGGCCGAACGGCTCTTGTTTATTTTACGGTGTTTATGTGGGTTACCGATTTTTGCACAATGGTCAAGGGGTCAGACGGTAAAGTTTAATCGTGTGTTTGTGCGGAGCGGGGACAGAGGGGCGGGGAGCAGACGAGGCGCTCAATGCGTTCATTATGCGCGGAGTCGTTAGCGCGCGGGTCAGCGTAGGTGCGTCTGTGGAACGAATGAAGGGATGCTGGTCTTTTATCCGGCGGTCGTTCGCCCGCGGCTAATGAATCAAACACTTGCGAGCGTATTGTCAATACCGAGCGAAATAATAACGCGCGCCGACTGCCGACCGCACAATGCTGGATTAATTTCCATTTAAACGTGTGAAAATGTACAGAGAATTGGATGCATGCATGCCGCCTTCTGGTAGTTTGAATTTATCATGTTTATAATTCGAGTAGAGTTGCGACTTTCGCGTGGCGCATTGTGCCTCATCAAAAGATGTCGCCGAGGAGCACGTCGCTCATTACCGATGTAATTACGGCCGATATATTGTCGCCTTTGTTGAGATGACTAATAATGACAAACGTATTTCTGCAAGAACGCTTTATTCACGGCGAAGCCTTTTCACCACGTATTATTTCCGCATTGTTCAATAATCGTGAAGCTTTGAATGTTTTCCTCGAGTTATATAAGTAAATGTAATTACAAATGACTAGTGTACATTCTTTATGATAATTAGTTTCTCCAAATGTCGCTCCGACATTGTATGAGATGCAACAAAATCAGTAAGAAACATTTGGCATAACAAATTTCGCTATAATGCATACTAGGTAGTGGGCTAAGTGGCGCGCAGGATCCCGGTGGATTTGGTAGTAAGCGGCTCCGGAGCTTGTTTGCCGGGCGCTCCATTAAAATGGGATCAGGCCGGGATGCAGATTGCCTGGACGTTCTGCGAGTATAACGCGCATATAAAGTCTATATGTGGATAGATAATGTTAGCTTCTTATTATTTGAAATAGGATCTTCGTAAAATAATTCGGATAAATTCTTAAATTTAGTTACATTTCTAATATTTGTAGATATAGATACGACATTACTAGTTTGCTTTTAATTAATCTAACTTGATTTATATTCTAACAGATATTTCCGTTGCTAGAAAACTTTCTATAAGTTTTCCTTATTACCAATTTACACTTGATCTTTATGGTTTCCTGGTACATCCTGGCAATGAAATAGCCAATGCATAAATAAATATTGGCAATGGCTCGAAGCAATAATACACGTACTCAATTAAAATCGATATGATTTATTGCGGCAAAACAATTGATTTCGATTAAAATTGCAAACCGGATAAAACAAAAGATGATACATTGTCCTTAGGTTATGGCAGTAATTCAAATAATTTGACGATTACCAAAATAAATAAAGTAAAATTAAAATTAACTAAATTAACATTTTTATTCTTCATTAGTCTTTACTAGGCCCCATGTTAAGCCGAGATGTGATCGAAAGACGTTGAAGTTTGTTGTTTTAAAGTAAGAGACGAGAAATATGTTCATTAAATTTGTAGAAATAGGTGATGAAATTCCGTACTAGATATACTATATGTTTACGAAGTAATAAAATCTCTTTGAATGACCTCCTTATAAGCTATTTTACTGCAAATTTAATGGTCTGAAAAAAAATCACAACGTTAATAAAACAATGACGGCCTATGTTTCTCGGGTCTGTCTCGAGCAGCCCGGGGGCTGCAATGCGTAATTGTTTTAAACTCGTCTTTTAATTGTTCTATCGAGGGTTGGAATTTATTGTGCGACGTGATCTCTAGCCTTAATGCCTTTCGCGTTCATTTGCACCATTACTTCCGCATCGCCGGACCACCGGTATGCTTTTCTTACAAATACAATTTGATAGAAGAAGATTGGACTTTGCAATCTGAATTACAGTAAAGTTTCTGACGTAATATAAATTAACATTTAAGATAATCGAAATCCATTGTTTCTATTCTCGTAATAGAGGTTTGTATGATTAATATTGTGAAACTGACGAAGAAGGGGCCAATTGGATATTGGGAACCTATTACAAAGATGCAGTGACTTTCGCAATTCATCGACGAATGACCTGTCATGACAAATTACTCTCCTGTCTAGACATGGAGCTAGATTTGAAATGATCATTGTAAGTAGGCAGTGGACGTGTTGTCACACACACTCCATGGAGCGTGGGCGCAGCGGGAAGATTTACGGGTGTATTTAAACTGGTTTAACATTAAACGGCAAGGAGGCGATTTGATCGTTAAATCGGCCGTTATGTAGCGAGTTAATATCATTGCTCGATACCACCCAGGCGATGTGTTCGATCAATTATTTCAGTTTGTGGTTAACGAGTTTGTACACACATTCACCAGTTGTCAAGAATTTCAGTTAGAAACACATATTTTGTTTGAGTTTTCAACTAATATATGATTATAACTATCGTTTGTTAGGGAGCCGTAAGTTATTTTTCATACCAGTAAAGGATTTATTAAAAACCTTGTAACAGAACTTTACACGAGGATCATATTGCCATGTACGTGTGTAATGATTAACTAAATTAAAATAATAATTTAGCAGTATACTACTACTATCGTCGATAAGGTAACTAACCTCAATTTTATAATATTAATGCGCTATAATAATTTGGAAGTCCCTCTCGATAACTAAACCGTAACATATCGCCTATTGTAGTAATAATAAGGAAAATATTCTCAGTTATTGAGTTGAGTGAGCGGTAAAAATGACCAAAACACTTACGTCGGTGTCGGAATCGAAAATTATTCAGCGGTAAAGAGCAATTAAGGCGACTCACGCCGCAGCGATTGTGTGAGCGCGAGCGTCGCCCGGCGCGGCTATTGTCCGCGGAAATTAACACGAGCGGCAAAAACACGTCGCGCGGCCGCCGTCTCCCCGCAGCCCACCGGCCATTACAAATTATATTGTTTTTAATTGCTACTGACCTCTGGCCAGAATAATTAATCTGTAATTGGTTAAAGAGCGAGATTATCCGCAATTTACAGCTCTTTTTGAAATTCGCTAAATAATACTTATACAAAGCATACATGAGATACCAAAATCTATTATATAAAGAGTTCATTGACAAAAACACCATCTCCGTTTATTCCAAAGTAATTACGTATTTGAGCTGCAATAGCTCATTATGTGCTTGTTCAGTTTTAGACAGATGATATTTTTTAGATTTACTTTAAAAACTTTGGTCAATAATTCTGAAAGT